ATGTATGTATGTATGTATGTATGTATGCATGTATGTATGTATGTATGTATGTATGTATGTATGTATGTATGTGTGTGTATGTATGTTTGTATGTATGTATGTATGTATGTTTGTATGCATGTATGTATGTATGTATGGATGTATGTATGTATGTATGTATGTATGTATGTATGTATATATGTATGTATGTATGTATGCATATATATATATGTATATGTATATATGCAGATATATGTATATATATATATATGTATATGTATATATATATATATAGGCCGTCCAAGAGTTTCCCAAAACCGCTCCAAGACGGCCGAAGAGGCCCCCAAGACCGCCCCAAGACGGCCCAAGAGACCCCCAAAATCGTCCCAAGACGGCCCAGGAGAGCCCCAAGATGGCCCAGGAGCCGCCCAAAACGGTTCCAGGAGAGCCCTGACAGGGCTTCAAAATTGCCTAAGCGAGCCCAGCGGGCCCCAAGAGGGCCCCGCGAGGCCCCAGGAGGCCCCAAAGAGGCCCCCAAGAGCCTCCTTGGAGGCCCCCGAGAGGCCCCCAAGATGCTCAAAAATTGCCCTGAGCGCGCCCCAAGACGTTTCCAGGAGAGCCCCACAGGCCTCCAAGAGGCCCCCAAGAGGCCCACTGGAGGCCCTCAGGAGGTCGTCCCCATCATGTTCCCGGAAGGCGGTCCGGGAACATGATTCCGCGCCTTGGAGGAGTATTCTGCGCCTTTCGAGGCGCCTTCCGAGGCGCCTTGGACGACGTACGTATGTTTCTATAGCTTGTTCTTCTCCTGTTTACGCAATTCTACATGTCTTACGTATGTTTCCATATATATATATATATATACACGCACAGCCCCCCCCCCAGCACCCACTGATTTTCATCGCGGTTCGCGCTGATCGCACTCGCATTTTCTTTACTGCCAGATTCGGTTCTCGCCCTGAGACGGCGGCATCGAATAATGAACGTCATCTGGAGAGCCAACCACTTGATCCTGCATCTCCTTCCCCTCTTTCACCTCGTCCATCCTCCTCCTCCTCCTCCTCCTCCTCCTCCTCCTCAACCTCAGAAGATGCAAGCGTCCGCTTCCCCCGCCTTTGGGAGAACAGGTATAAGATATCAGCGGCAGCGCTAACAAGAACGATAAGCGAACCATATGATTTCTCAGGCATTCCAGGGATGCACAGGGATGCTAAGTGACGATCGCTGTGCAGGCTCAGGGATCCCAGGGATTCCAGGGATGCGAAGTCACGATCCCTGAGCAGGCTCAGGGACCCCAGGGCTTCCAGGGATGCGAAGTCACGATCCCTGTGCAGGCTCAGGGATCCCAGGGATCCCAGGGATTCCTAACCCTCCAGCAAAACCGACCTGGGGATCCACCAGCGATCCCGCGCTCAGAATCCCTGGGATCCCTGAGCCTGCTCAGGGATCGCGACGTCGGTTGTCAGCAAACCATATGATTTCTCAGGGATCCCAGGGATTCCAAGGATGGCAAGTCACGATCCCTGAGCAGGCTCAGGGATCCCAGGGATTCCAGGGATGCGAAGTCACGATCCCTGTGCAGGCTCAGGGATCCCAGGGATCCCAGGGATTCCTAACCCTCCAGCAAAACCGACCTGGGGATCCACCAGCGATCCCGCGCTCAGAATCCCTGGGATCCCTGAGCCTGCTCAGGGATCGCGACGTCGGTTGTCAGCAAACCATATGATGTCTCAGGGATCCCAGGGATTCCAGGGATGCCAAGTCACGATCCCTGAGCAGGCTCAGGGATCCCAGGGATTCCAGGGATGCGACGTCGCCATCCCTGTGCAGGCTCAGGGATCCCAGGGATCCCAGGGATTCCTGACCCTCCAGCAAAATCGGCCTGGCGACTTCGCAAAGATTTGGGGGAATCCCTGGGATCCCTGGGATCCCTGAGCCTGCACAGGGATCGTGACTTCGCATCCCTGGAATCCCTGGGATCCCTGAGCCTGCTCAGGGATCGCGACGTCGGTGGTCAGCAAACCAATGGATGTCTCAGGGATCCCAAGGATTCCAGGGATGCCAAGTCACGATCCCTGAGCAGGCTCAGGGACCCCAGGGATTCCAGGGATGCGACGTCACCATCCCTGTGCAGGCTCAGGGATCCCAGGGATCCCAGGGATTCCTGACCCTCCAGCAAAATCGGCCTGGCGACTTCGCAAAGATTGGGGGTTGGGAATCCCTGGGATCCCTGGGATCCCTGAGCCTGCACAGGGATCGTGACTTCGCATCCCTGGAATCCCTGGGATCCCTGAGCCTGCTCAGGGATCGTGACTTCGCCATCCCTGGAATCCCTGGGATCCCTGAGACATCATATGGTTTGCTGACAACCGACGTCGCGATCCCTGAGCAGGCTCAGGGATCCCAGGGATTCTGAGCGCGGGATCGCTGGTGGATCCCCAGGTCGGTTTTGCTGGAGGGTTAGGAATCCCTGGGATCCCTGGGATCCCTGAGCCTGCACAGGGATCGTGACTTCGCATCCCTGGAATCCCTGGGATCCCTGAGCCTGCTCAGGGATCGTGACTTGGCATCCCTGGAATCCCTGGGATCCCTGAGACATCATATGGTTTGCTGACCACCGACGTCGCGATCCCTGAGCAGGCTCAGGGATCCCAGGGATTCTGAGCGCGGGATCGCTGGTGGATCCCCAGGTCGGTTTTGCTGGAGGATTAGGAATCCCTGGGATCCCTGGGATCCCTGAGCCTGCACAGGGATCGTGACTTCGCATCCCTGGAATCCCTGGGATCCCTGAGCCTGCTCAGGGATCGTGACTTGCCATCCTTGGAATCCCTGGGATCCCTGAGAAATCATATGGTTTGCTGACAACCGACGTCGCGATCCCTGAGCAGGCTCAGGGATCCCAGGGATTCTGAGCGCGGGATCGCTGGTGGATCCCCAGGTCGGTTTTGCTGGAGGGTTAGGAATCCCTGGGATCCCTGGGATCCCTGAGCCTGCACAGGGATCGTGACTTCGCATCCCTGGAATCCCTGGGGTCCCTGAGCCTGCTCAGGGATCGTGACTTCGCATCCCTGGAATCCCTGGGATCCCTGAGCCTGCACAGCGATCGTCACTTAGCATCCCTGTGCATCCCTGGAATGCCTGAGAAATCATATGGTTCGCTTATCGTTCTTGTTAGCGCTGCCGCTGATATCTTATACCTGTTCTCCCAAAGGCGGGGGAAGCGGACGCTTGCATCTTCTGAGGTTGCGTTAGAAAAAGCATTCCGCTTGCAACACGTGACTCGGGAAGAGGAACGGAAAGGAGCAGGGATGATGAGAAGAGGATGCGTCTCCAGCTTCGTGGAAGAGGGAGAAGGCGTAGAGTGGGTGCTGGGGGGGGGGGCTGTCCATATATACATATCGGAGTCGGGCCCGGGGGCGGCCCGGGGCGGTGCCTGTAATCTCCATGGGGGGTGCAGGGCGCCGCCGGGAGCGTCCGAAGCGTCCCGGAGGGCCCCTGGGACCGCCAGGAACAGATCGAGACCGCCGAAAACGGCCCACGAGCGCTCCAAGACGCGTATAGATAGCCTCAGGAATGGCCAGGAAGCCCCGAAGACGTTCCAAGGGAGCTCCATGAGGTCCCGAAGGCATCCCAAGAGGCCTCCCAAGAGAGCCGCGACAAGCCAAAATCGTTGATTTTTATTGTTTTTCCCAACCCTCCTTGGTTGGGTATTCGTTTTGAATAGAGCAGTGTGGTCTCCACTCCTTCCTTCCTTCCTTCCTTTCTTCCTCCTCCTCCCTCCCTCCCTGCCTCTTCCTGTCTTGCCTGCGGGGGGCTGCGATCTGTGAAACTGTCGCCATTTTCGAGGCCTGCTGGGGGGGCCAGCACAGTGAGGGCCCCGCGCAGATTCAAATTCGACCTCGCCATCCCTGGGGGGCTGCGATCTGTGAAACTGTCGCCATTTTCGAGGCCTGCTGGGGGGCCCAGCACAGTGAGGGCCCCGCGCAGATTCAAATTAGACCTCGCCATCCCTGGGGGGGCTGCGATCTGTGAAACTGTCGCCATTTTCGAGGCCTGCTGGGGGGCCCAGCACAGTGAGGGCCCCGCGCAGATTCAAATTAGACCTCGCCATCCCTGGGGGGGCTGCGATCTGTGAAACTGTCGCCATTTTCGAGGCCTGCTGGGGGGCCCAGCAAAGTGAGGGCCCCGCGCAGATTCAAATTAGACCTCGCCATCCCTGGGGGGGCTGCGATCTGTGAAACTGTCGCATTTCGAGGCCTGCTGGGGGGGCTGCACAGTCGCAGATTCAAATTAGACCTCGCCATCCCTGGGGGGCTGCGATCTGTGAAACTGTCGCCACTTTCGAGGCCTGCTGGGGGGCCCAGCACAGTGAGGGCCACGCGCAGATTCAAATTAGACCTCGCCATCCCTGGGGGGCTGCGATCTGTGAAACTGTCGCCATTTCGAGGCCTGCTGGGGGGCCCAGCACAGTGAGGGCGACGCGCAGATTCAAATTAGACCTCGCCATCCCTGGGGGGGCTGCGATCTGTGAAACTGTCGCCATTTTCGAGGCCTGCTGGGGGGCTCAGCACAGTGAGGGCGACGCGCAGATTCAAATTAGACCTCGCCATCCCTGGGGGGCTGCGATCTGTGAAACTGTCGCCATTTCGAGGCCTGCTGGGGGGCCCAGCACAGTGAGGGCGACGCGCAGATTCAAATTAGACCTCGCCATCCCTGGGGGGCTGCGATCTATGAAACTGTCGCCATTTTCGAGGCCTGCTGGGGGGCCCAGCACAGTGAGGGCGACGCGCGGATTCAGATTAGACCTCGCCATCCCTGGGGGGGCTGCGATCTGTGAAACTGTCGCCACTTTCGAGGCCTGCTGGGGGGCCCAGCACAGTGGCGCCACGGGCGGACCCAAATTAGACATCGCCATTCCGTAGCCATTTTGGCTCAAGTCATTTTGGCTCAAGTGCTCAAGGCAACCGCGCGTTGTTGCAAGCTGGCCCCCGTCGTGAGCGCACCGCGCAATCACCGCGCAGGCCATGTCGATGCAGGAGCAGAATGATGCAACCCTCGAGCTGCTCCCGGGCGCGACAGGACCGCAGGGTCCTGCCGCCCCGCGCCTCGCGGGTCGCTACGCGCTCGCGGCGTTCGCGGTGGTGGCCGCGTCAGCGCTGACTGTGGTCGCGTTCTTCGCGGCCGGGCCGCTCTCTGCGCCGTCTTTGCCCTGGTTTGTCGGCTTCCAGCACTCTGACGGTGAGCAGGTTTGCGAGGGTCATGGCTTCAGCGAGGGTCAGTGCCTCCGGAAGGGTTGCTGCCATTACGACAACAATTTCTGTTGGTCTAGTGTGGGGAATGGGTCTTGCACGGGCCCAACAACCTCGGGCATACCTGATGGTAAGAAGAGTGGGGAAGATGTTTGCCAAAACCAGGGCCTCGGCAAGAAAGAATGCTTGGCGATATCTTGCTGTCACTGGGACGACGGCGAATGTTGGTCGGGCGTCGGCTCTGGTATTTGCGATGACGAGGGGGATGACCCGGACGTGGTCGAGTGCGATGACGGGGAAAATGATGCGGGTGACATCACCGTGACCGCGCTTCCTGATGTTCTCGCCAATGGTCCTTACAAATACGGGAGGTATTTTGTCAAATACGTCAGTGTGTTCGGTGTGCCCATCATGGCGGACGAGGATGTGCCGGATTGGAAGGTGGAGCATGCAGGAGATGTTCTGGCACATTATCTAGATTATGATGGAGATGGCAAGGCGAACAACGGAGAGGTCTTGGATTCGATTCATCATGGGGGTAAGCTGGTCATGTTCAAAAGTGGGAATTCGGAGAACTATCGCAGGTTCAGGAGTGAGCACGGTTACGGGGCCCAGGACATCAACGACAATGACATCCCCAGTTGGGTGGAGGAATACAGCGGCCGCCGCTTGAGGCGTGTGAATGGCTCCCGCACCGTCTCGATGCCCCATTGGGTCCTCTTCCATGAAAGAATTCTTCAGTCAGGACCCAGAGACGGTTGTCTCGAGGAGATCTTACACATGATCTACCATTGGGGATATGCCAGGGTCTACTACGATGCGCTCGGGGAAGAGGACTCCAAGCTTGCCCAAGCCATGGAGAAGCAGATTGGGGACTGCGGCCATGCCTACGATGGCACATCCAAATATCCTAATTGCACTTTTAATTTTTATCGCACGGATAAAACTTGCAATGCCGGCTGCAATGCCGCTGAGTATCAGTGGGTGACGTTGGTATCATTACTCGGAGGTCTCGACGGCACGGTGGAGTCCGCAACCGGCGGCAGCGGGGGGTGGTGTCCGACCTGGGAGTGGAAACTCTGCAGCAAGAAAGACATCATGGACAAAGACCCGGACATTTACCATCTCTATGACTTGGACGGCGCCAACCCGTACAAGTTGCCAGACAAGTTGCCGAGTGGCAGGTACCGCCCCCACCCGAAGCCGAAGGTACGTGACATGGAGCTCAACCACTTGTGGTACTGGCCGCACTCGTGCGGCAGTGTGACGTGCCCCAAGAAGACGTGCGCCAGGCTGTGAACAAGGTCTTCTACGGCCTGTAGGCCGAGGAATCTGTGAGTCGCCGCCCATCTGGCTGGCCACGGCGCGAGGGCCTCGGCCCGGCCCGAGCGGCGCGGCGGCGCGAAGACCACGGCCATTTTGCCAGAGGAGGGATATTTATTCATATATATATATATATATATATATATATATATGCACGCATGCGTGTGCATCTACGCACACACCTTTGGTGGTGGTGTTCCTAGGCTCTGCGTTTCGTCGCAGCCCTCGCCCTACACCCAGCGGGCATCGAATTTTGGGGCACCAGGACGTTGCCGTGGCCTCTCTCGTGTCTGCCGCGGCGCGGCGGCGTCCAGGGCCTCGGGCACGGCGGCGGAGGACAGTGGCGGAAGCTGGGCGAGGGCCGGCATTAAGTCGGGCATGTTTTCTACGGGAGGCATCTGCAAAAATCGTGGAACAAATGGTCTGGGGACGATATGTTTGATTATTGTTGGTCCTGTTGGTGTGTTTTTAGAATTCTTTCGCTCAAAATCCGACTGTAGGGGGATATGCCCGACCTAAGGCTGGCAAAGACGTGGCTGCCAAAAGGGTCTCCCAGGAAGATCAAAACAAGTGCCCAGAATACAATTCAGCGCGCTAAAGTAAACGGGCTGCCTCCCGGAAGAAGAAGAAGAAGAAGTAGAAGCAGTTTCCCGGAGCTCCGTTTTAGCAGCCACGGGTTTGCCAGCCTTCGCCTGGCGTCTGATACTGGCCCCTCAGTGTCTCAGCATGTCTCCGGGCGCTTGGGCGAGGAGACGCCAGCTGAAATGGGGCTCGGGCGCGGCGCACCTGCTACACAAGCATGTGGCGGACTCGCAGCACGATGCTTGCCCAAGGGGACCTCCAAGAGGACCCCGAGAAGCAAACATATGTTCTCTCGTTCAGGCAATTTTTTTTTGTTGGCCAGATTCGTTCCTGAAGTGAACGATGTCTACGACAACCCAAGAGACCCCCAAGACGGCCCGAGAGGTCCTCAAGGCAGCCCCAAGTCAGCTCATGAGGGCTGTAAGACGGCTCAAGAAGTTCGCGAGACAGCCCAAAAGAGACCCAAGAGCGGCCCGAGAGGGGGAAACCGAACTCGAATTTCGAGCTTCCCGCCCCCCACAGGAGCCCCGAGGCCGCCGACAGGTTCCGAAGAAACTCCCATGGGCAATGGAGGGCCCAAAGAGGCCCCAAATATCAAGTCGGGCGTGTCTCTCGACAGGGGGAATATTCAAAACTAGCCAAAACATAGTCAGGGGACGATGTTTTGATAATTCTGTGTGTCTGTGTGGCCATGTGGGGGTATGTGCTGATTTTTCTTAATTTGCCCAAAATCCCCCTGTAGGGGGACATGCCCGACCTAAGGCTTCAGAGGTCCCTGTGAGACGCTCCCGAGAAGGGTTTTGGGCCCTCTCCTCAACTGAGCTCCCTGCGAATGCCGACCGTGCGCCGCAAGAGCCCCCACGGCGCCCCTGGAGGCGCGGAGGGCCCGCCCCGCAGGCTCCAAGAGACCCCGGCATGCTTCAGGACGCCAGCGGGCCACCGTTTTTTGACGCGTGGTTCCAAACAGCCCTGCGCTCTCTCTCACACACACACAAACACACACACACACACACGCACACACACGCACGCACACACACACACGCACGCACGCACACACACGCACGCACATACACACACACGCACGCACGCACGCACGCACGTACGCACACACACACACACACACCCGCACACACACACTCACACACACACACACCACACCCACAACACACGCACGCACACTCACACACACCCGCACACACACACACACACTCACACACACACCATACCCACACACACACACACGCACGCACACACACACAAAAAAACACACACACATACACACACTCGCACACACACACACACACACCACACCCCCCACACACACACACACACGCACGCACGCACGCACGCACACACACAACACACACACGCACACACACACACCACCCACACACACACACGCACGCACCCACGCACGCACGCACACACACACACACGCGCGCGCACACACACACACCACACCCCACACACACACACACACACACACCGCACGCACGCACGCACACACACAAACACACACACACGCACACACACACCACCACACACACACACACACACACACCACGCACGCACGCACACACACACACGCACACACGCACACACCACACACACACACTCACACACACAACACACCACACGCACGCACGCGCACGCGCACGCGCACGCGCACGCGCACGCGCACGCGCACGCGCACGCGCACGCGCACGCGCACGCACACGCACACGCACACGCACACACGCACACACGTACACACGTACACACGTACACACGCACACGCACACGCACACGCACACGCACACGCACACACACACACACACACACACACACATCCGTAGCCATTTTGGCTCAAGGCTATGAACCGCCCGACGACCGCGAGTCCGTTCTCGGGCGTCTCTGAGCGCGAGGGGGTTCGCGCTTTGAGGCCAAATCCTTTGTACAAGATTCTCCCTCCAGTGGCCAGCCTGGCCGTCATCCTGCTTCTCGCGGGCACAGCTTCAGAGTCTGTGGTTGAGGAGCAATGGCGCCGCCCGCCGCTGGTGCAAAGGGAGGAGGCAGTCGTGCAGCCCGTCGTGACAAATGGCTCTGCAAGTCTTGCCTCGGACGTGATCACAAGCCCTACGTCAACTTCGCTGATAAGCTGTGCTGCAACAGTTGCGGCCTGGCCAAGAGCGTCGTGTACGGGGGCCCCGTCAAGCCCAGTGCGCCCTCTCGGCCAGCGCCGTGGGCCGCAGGTGGCAAAGCAGCAGGTTCGCTCTCGGTCCAGCTGCTCGAGATGCAGAAGCAGGTCCAATCGCTCACGTCGCAGCTCAAGCAGGCGAAGGCTAAACCACCCGAGTCGGCGACGCCCACGGCGTGTGCAGAGCAAGGAGAAGGCGACGCTGGTGCTGAGTCGGCAGTCAAGAAAAGGTTGGACGAGTTGGACGGCTTCGTTAAGCAGCTGGCTGGGGTTGACACGCCAGAGGTCGCGAAGCTGGTGGAGCAGTACAAGTCAGAGCAGGTCAAGCTGCGCGCGCAGCTGTTCCAGGAGAAGCCGCCTTCGCAGCGGCTCAAGTCTCTCGGTTTCAAGATCACCAAGGTCGAGCAGCAGATCACCAAGCAGCAGACGGCCCGCGAGCTCAAGCAGGCGCAGCTGGCGGCCTTGCAGGCGGAGATCGCCACGCAGGACGCCGTGTTGGCCGAGTCCCGCAAGCAGCTGCTGGAGCTTGAGGGCCAGCGTGCCCAACTGGTTGGTGCGCTGCCGCAGCCACCTGCAGCGGCTCCTGGCACAGGCGCTGGCGACGACGAGAGCAGCTGGACGCTGCCCAAGTTGGAGCAAGTCCTGCTTGCTGCTGAGGCTCCTCCTGATCTGCAGCAGGACGTGGCAAAGGTGGTGGACAGGATGCGCCAGCATCGGCAGGCTCAGGAGCAGGAGCGAAAAGCTCAAGCCGAGCGCGAGGCCGCCCAGGCCCAGCAGATGCAAGCCGACGAGGCAGCAGCCAACGCCGACGCCGCCATGGAGGCAGACGAAGGCGATGCCCAGTGGGAGGAGTCCGTCAACCAGGCTACTGCCGAGGAGCTACGCGAGTTCTTGCGCGAGCCGGGTGCTGACATCCCTAACGCTGCCGATGCTTCAGAGGAGGAACTTCGTGCTGCAGTCAAGCGAATCCGCCTGGCCAAGCCCAAGTGGAAGGTGGTCAAGAAGCCACGCACAGCCTGAGAACCCATCGTTGCCAGTCATGACGCGCAGCAAGTGACAGATAACTACCGTCAACGCCAACTCGTTTGGCACCCTGTCCAAGTACCTCGCCGAATGCAGCAGCGACGTGGTCTTGGCGCAGGAGCACCATGCAGGTGCCGAGAAGCTCCCTGAGGTACAGGGAGACGCCCAGGACTCGGGCTGTAAAGGAGTGCGGTGCCCCGCGCTGCCCACAGCGGCTGGCGGCACGGAAGGTGGCGTCGCTGTCTTGGCCAAGATGGACATCGCCGTCACCAAGGCGCCGCTGCTGGATGACGGCGTCATTGTGCCTGGCAGGGCCGTGGCAGCCCACGTGCATGCTGCACTTCCTGGCGGCTTCGTCGCCGTGGCGCTGTATCTACACACAGGCGAGGGCAGGTCGCCTCGCAACTTGGCCATCGTCTGGCAGGTCGCGCAATACGTGAAGCGCGTCGTCACAGGGCCAGGCCTGGCATGGATCGTCGGCGGCGACGTCAACATGGCCCCGCAGGAGTTGCTGGAGCATGACTGGCTCCACCTCGCCGAGGCCATGTGCGCGGCCCCGCGGGAGCCCACCTGCCTGCAGGCCGTGCCAGCTACTACCCTGGACTACTTCCTCGCCCACCGCCCGATGCTCCAGGGGGGCCAAGTACACCGTCAACGCTTCGGTCACCGACATAACTTGGCCACATAGGCCTGTGCACCTCACGCTGGCCAAGCACACCGAGGCGCCGATGGCGCGCGAGCTAGATGAGCCGCGCCCGTTCCCTCGGGAGCTGCCCGTGGGATGCGCGAGGTATCCCTGGCATGGTTGGGAAGACGTGTATCTCTCCATCGATCAAGCGCAGTCTCTTCCTCAGCTTGCTTTGGCATGGGACCTGGTCCTCAGAGGCGTGGAGGAGGAGCTGGCTGGCAGACGCGACATCGTCGGCACGCGCAAGCAATGCTACGTGGGGCGCGAAGGCCCCGTGCAGCAGCGCACCCGTCAGCTGGAGTGGCGACCTCCTCGGCGACGAGCTCGACATGGGCCAGAAGTGAGCGCGTGGAATGTTGCGGCCAGGTGGGCCCAGCACATCCTCGGCGTGCGCGACTACGTGACGAAGACGGTTGCGCAGCTCACCCTGCACCAGGACGGCTCCGCCACGTGTTTGGGCCAGGTGGGCCCTGCACAAGGGCGTGAGCGCGCGGGGCCTGGTCGCCCCGACCTCGATCGCCACCCAGGCGTGGAAGCGCTGCCCGAGGCTAGCTCGACCCTGACCGAGCAGCCTGCTGCCTGTGAGGCCCACCGCGGTGGGGTGGCCGATGCCCTCACACACGAGGGAGCTGAAGGCGGCCTGGTGAGGTGCTGCGACGCTCGCCCCGTCGCCCTCCCTGTAAGCCCGAGCGAGGCCCACCGCGGTGGGGTGGCCGATGCCCTCGCACATGCACTCCCCCCTGGCGGCCAGGTGAGGAGCTGCGACGCTCGCCCCGTCGCCCTCCCTGTAAGACCGAGCGAGGCCCACAGCGGTGGGGTGGCCGATGCCCTCGCACACGAACCTCCTCTTGGCGGCCTGGCGAGGTGCTGCGTCGCTCGCCCCGACGCCCTCCCCGTAAGCCCGAGCGAGGCCCACAGCGGTGGGGTGGCCGATGCCCTCGCACAAGACCTTCCTCCTGGCGGCCTGGTGAGGTGCTGCGTCGCTCGCCCCGACGCCCTCCCTGTAAGCCCGAGCGAGGCCCACCGCGGTGGGGTGGCCGATGCCCTCGCACATGGAGTTGCCGAAGGCGGCCTGGAGAGGTGCTGCGATGTTCGCCCCATCGACCTCCCTGTAAGCCCGAGCGAGGCCCGCGATGATGGGGTGGCCGAGGCCCTCGCACATGGAGTTGCAGGCGGCGGCTCTGAGAGGTGCTGCGATGCTCGCCCCGATGCCCTCCCTGTAAGGCCATTGCAGAAAGTCTATCAAGCGGCTGCTTCGAGGGACTTTCCCTGCGTTCCGCGTCCTGCGGCTGGTGGCGTTCTCCATAACATGGATGGCGAGGCCGACCCGTTCGAGGATCTCGATTGGCAGCTGGAGGACCAGGACCAGGACATGTACGAGGTGCCTAATTCGTCGCCAATGTCGCTGGACGTGGCGAAAAACTTAAGCACCCTGGAACCTGGGAGCAGCAT